AGTTCTAGTTAGAGTTTAGCCAGCCAGCTTGTTTAATTTTTCACTCTTTTATTTGATAAATGTAAAGATTGGTAAAGTTATATCTCACTTAATTAGCCAAACAGTGATCAACACTTATTTTTTTATTAAAGATTTTAAAATAATTAGTATTTCTGTCATTCTGATCATGCTCCCAGTCACACAGCCTATCAGAACAGAACTGTTTCCAGCTGAATGGGCAAATTAGATATTAATTCTCTTGAAAAAGCAAACCCTAGATGCCTTATAATATAGTTGTGTCTTTCACTTAATACTTGCAAACTCACAGAAGAAATTCAGCCAACATGTCCTAAAACCTCCTGAAAATAATTCAACTAAGACAAAATTTTAAATGTATTTCCTTGAGATTTATTTTGATTTATTTGATAGGCAATATTGGGACCAGTGTAGTGGAGTAGTAAGCTAAATTTCCCCCTGTGGTGCTGGCAATCCATATGGGCACCAGTTTGTGTCCTGACTGCTTCACTTTTGAACCAGCTCGCTGTTAACGGCTTGAGAAAGCAGCAGAAGACAGCCCAAGTCCTTGAGCTCCTGGACCCATGTGGAAGGCCCACAAGAAGCTCCTGGCTTCTAGTTTAGCCTGGTTCAGCTTTGCTACAATGGCCATTTTAGGAATGAACCAAAGGTAGAAAATTTCTCTCTCTGTCTCTCCCTCTCTCTAATTCTGCCTTTCAAGTAAAACAAATAAATCTTTTTTAAAAGACAGTTACAAAAAGTAAGAGGGACACACACACACACACACACACACACACACACACACACACCAAGAGACAAAATCTTCCATTCTCTAATTTACTTCCCAAATGGCCACAATGGTTGGGGCTGTGCCAGGCCAAAGTTAGGAATCCAAAGCTTCTTACCAAATCACCCACAGGAATCCAAGCTACAAGCAAAACTGGGCCATTTCCTTTGTTTTCCCACACATTTTAGCAGGGAACTGGATAGGAAGTAGAGTAGTTGACACTCCAACGGGCACCCATATAGGGTACTAACATTGATTGTGGTGGCTTAACTTGAGACATCATCTTACCTCTAAATATTTTTGGCTAATTTATTTTAGACAGTCCTCCAAAATCCAGGAATTCATTCAGTCAATATTCGTTAAATGAGTACTATATGTAAGGTATCACAAAATATGGAAAAATAATGAAAACTCACTGTTCTTAGTAGATAGAAGGCAGATAGATGTACAAGTCTAACAGAAGTACAGAAAAAGTCTTAAAATGCCCTATTCAACAGTTTAAAGAATAGGGTCAACCTTACAGTCTGAAACATTCAGAAGACTCATTAAAGATGTATCACATACATATTATAGCCAGAGTGGCCTTGAAAATTATCCATCTAACCCTACAATTGTACAGATAAGAAAAACAAAAAAAAAAAAAAAGAAAAGCTTTATAAGAGGAAAAGTGATTTACTTTATATCACAGAATTAAAAATCCTGGGTAGGAAGGAAGGTCTTTGAATTTCTGTTTACTTCCTTTCCATGATATTGTGCTGCCATTCTGATGTTAAAAGCATTTGCTTAGGAAAGATGAGGGGAAGGAGAGTGCCTGATGGTGAAGATCAGAGGCTGGGAAGAACACTGCTGAGAGGCACGTCCAGGAATCAGACTGTTACTACAAAAACAAAGCTTGAGGGGAGGAATGCGAGACACTGAGTTGAAAGGACAGTGAGATTAGGCAACAGAGAGCATCAAATGACAGCCTAAGACAGACTTTTTTTAAATTAGATAAATCAATGTATACAAGTAGCAGAATTTAGACAGCAAATCTGAAATCCTTATCAGCATCAAATCTATGCTGTAACATCAGTAGTCTCAAAGGTCTATCATGAAAGAACAGAAACTCTTCGGAAGTGAACAAAGTCAGCTAAATATAGCAAATTTATGCTGAAATCAAATTCCTTTTGTGATTGTTCTTTCTCAAAAGTGGGTGGTGGCAGAACTGGTATAAGAGAAGGCAAGACACAGTGAGCTGTTGGTCATAGATGGAGTTGGTGATAGTACTGCTAGGTAAAAGCCTGTGATTCCCTAGCTGTTTGCCTTACTCCTCTGTGGGAGCATCAACATCCAGACAGTTCGTAAGCCAACCCTAGACAGGCTTGGAAGTGAGTAGATATTGGGATCCAGCCACAAAACTAGGGATCAGGAATTGTTCTTCCCTGCTTTCCATGCAAGCTATTCCCAGGTCCTTCACTCTGGTATCTTGCTCCCTTCTTTATGACTGGAAACAGATGAGAGATACCACACTGGCTCACATGCACATATGTATAATACTATGCAATAATCCCAAACACCTCTACCTCTATGCATGGTTTTCATGTATCATAAAGCAAAGCAAATCTCTATATCACCTCAACCCTCACTTAGCATACTCCCTGCAACCTTCCAGAGGTTATACTACACTCCCTAACTCTGTTGCTCCTGCTTAGACTCTAACTTCAGACTTTTAAGCAAGAAGACCCTCTTACCTGCCCAAGTGTGGCATTAATTTTCCCAAGAAAATCTAACTGCACCAACCCACCAAACACTTAAGACACCAACACCATAAGGGTATTTTAAAAATCACATGGATGTTCCACTTTGGCTTTTACAACCTTCCTTTTGAAAACCTGCTCATCAGAAAAGATATTTCTTGGTCTATTTTCCTTTGCTAATGCTGCGACACCAGTATTATCTGTCTAAGGTCATTTTACTGATGGTGAAAGATCTGCAAAGGACCCACCAAGTGCACCCAGATATAATGCCTAGGAAATCTATCATGCATTCACTTAAAAAATGGGAAGGGGCAGGGGACTGGATGGCCTACTGGCTAAATCTTTGCCTTTCAAGTGCTGGGATCTTATATGCGTGTAGTTCATGTCCCAGCTGCTCCACTTTCCAACCAGCTCCCTGCTTGTGGCCTAGGAAAGCAGCAGAGAATGGGACCCTGCATCAGTGTGGGAGATCCAGAAGAAGCTCCTGGCTCTGGACAAGCTCAGCCTCAGCCTCAGACATTGCGGAAACTTGCAGAGTGAACCAGTGGATGGAAGATCTTTCTGTCTTTGCTTCTCTGTAAATTTGCCTTTCCAATAAAAATAAATAAATCTTTTTTTTTTTTGGGCATTTCGAACAGTGGCTACGACACTATTTGAGAGACTCACATATCACAACAGATTATCTGGATTCAAGTTCCAGCTTGGTTTGTGAGTCCAGGTTCCTACTAACACACAGCCTGGTAGGCAGCAGGTGATGGCTCAAGTAGTTAAGTCTCTGCCACCCATCAGTGTAACCTGGATCATGTCCCTGGCTCCCATCTAAGGCCTGGCTGTTGAGGAGAGAACTAGAAGATGACACTCCTCTGTCTCTCTGCCTTTTGGACATATACATATAGTCATACATAAAAACTTCAAAATCTTGGTAAAATACTCTGGGCTTCAAAGCCCACAAGTGATTATTTTTCAAAGTGAGATTTTGTTATGCTGGATTTCAAAATTAATATTGATTATTCACCGATCTTATTTCTCCCATTCTGGTGTACAGAAAAAATGACTTTTTAGTTAAGTGGGTAGAACTTTCAAAAGGTGAGGAAAAAGACTGCCATGAATAATTTACTGTCCTACTCTTAATCCTTGTTTAGAAAAAATGAATCAAATGAGTCCTAACGCACTTTTGTACTATACAGGGATACAGTGATTTTACTTTTAGCTGGCAAACTAAGCACTGTGAAGTACTTTCATGCATTATCTCATGTCATCCTTAAAGAAGACCTACTATTTATACTCCCAGATTAGTCATCAGAAAACTGTGCCTTGGTAAGATAAGCAATGTGCTCAAGTCATACAGCCATATATGGAAGGCATGCTGGAGGAGATCCAGTCAGGTCATTTCTAAGCTCGAGTTCTCAATCAGCAAATTACTCAAACTATCCTTTTTAAAATTCAAACAAAGAAAAAAAACTTTGAAATCACCAGCTTGAAAGGTTAAGTACACGAAGAATGTGTACTGATTTTATAAGTACAAGAAAGAACTCATTAATTGAAGAGTAATTTTTAAAAATGAAAATGCTGCTCATTGTGGGTCAATTAATTCAGCTGAGGAAAATTATCAGACCCTCTCACTATAAGATGCCCATTCATTGCCTCCACATACACTGTACATCTTCTGTGTGGTACATAACATGCTGGGAACTAGGGACAGAGGTTGACAAGAGAAACAAGATCCCTCCTCTACAGGCAGGCTCCCAGCTTCAAAGCTCCACAGGGCCGGTGTGATACAAAGGGACAGAAATGAGGAGGAGTAGGGAAACCCAACTCAAGTAGGACAGAGGGAAGGCTTCCCTCCCAAGAGAAAGGGGCAGGGCATGTAGGAAGTACATGTAGAAGGACAAACAGGATCGAGGACTAGAAAAAAGATGAAAGCCAAGGACAATTTCAGAGCAGCTCAAGGCAGTGCAGAAAGAAAACAGGAGCCAAAGCTTAGGCCTGGAAAGGTGGGCTGATCAGATCCTGCAGGAACATACAGCACCTGGCAGACTACACCAAAGGGCCAAGGGCAGCCAACATAAACTAGACAGAAACACTTTATCAGATTTTAGCCATACATCTGGCTGTCAAAAAGAATGTAGCTCACAAAGGGAGTGGAACTGCGGTAGAAAACCATCACTGCAATCCAGGTGACAGGTGCTGCGAGTGGGGTTAGCACAACAGGTTTAGGCAAAAAGAGTAGATGTTTAGGAGGCTGAATGGACAGGACTTGCTGTGAGATGGAAGACTGACAGCCTTGAGGCAATTCTAAACCTTAGAAGGTAGCAGATCTTATCTTTTAAATAAACCAGACATTTAACTGAAATTAAAATATATATATATATATATCAGTCATTTTAAAAAAATCCAACTTAATAAGAAAAAAAAACTTCCTGCTTTCTAAATACTATTGCTACTGTTCATTATTTAACACCAGCATCCAAGTCATGACTCACCTGGTTACCAACCAATAATAGGTGCTCTCCCAGGAGAAAGTCTTTGAGCATGTCTTCCATCACTATCATGTGCTAGAAGTAAATGAATTTTTCACAATTAAGGTAAAATTAGACAGTTAAGTATATTTTTGTGGAATGTGAAACATATTCATATAAAATACTCAAATGACTGGGTTAAAATGATTGATGATGCAATTATAAATAAGTTATATACATGGCCCGGTCATTGACACTGAAAACATGAAACACTCCACCTGAACAAAGCTACTAGACAATATTTTAGTGAGATTTTATATTTCAATTCAAATATTTTCAGTCACTAAACTATGTAGACTTGCCTTATAACTTGATGTAATATTAAAATCCACACTTGCCACACTATGTAAATATATAAGGACTTCAAAAATTAACTGGAGATTTTCCTGGAATATTTTACACTGACTTGTTCTTAACCTTTACCTTCAAAGATATATGTAGTTTTAGAATTAAAAATGTATTACCTTCCACACTTCTTTATTTGAATGATAACACAATATAATAAGAGAATAAGATTAAAGTTATTCACAAAAGCCTCAGAGGAAATTACATTCTCTTTTGCATCCTGGAAAATAAGACACCAATATACAGGCTACAAAGGCTTATCAGGGGTTGGGGAGGCAATTATGCCTAGCCTAAGTAAAATCCACATTGCTTATTCTTGATTTTCTGTTTCAAATAAATAATGGCCTCAAGGTACTGATGTTCTCTGTTTGTACAAAAGGAAAATTAAACTTAAGCATCTAATACACACTGCAGATACTTTTCCAGGATGTCATTTGCTTTCCTTTTTTTTTTTCACTTGGGTTTTTGAAAACCTGCTTATTTTTCCTTATCAAATTTACCAATATTTCATACCCTTTCTTATTAAAAAAAAAAGGCATTGACAGATTCCCTGATGTTTATCTTGTTAGGCTTAATTTTTTGCAAGTGCTTTTAGATACAACACAGGGCTAGAGTTTCAACAAGGCCTGAAGATGAACATATCCACTGATTGTTCATTCTGGAACACTTCCAAGAATAAAAAGAGATACTATAAATAATCATCCTAAGAAAAAACTATAAACAGAAACTATCTTAAGCAAACTAAGATGTATGATCATCCACTAAAAAGAAGTCCTAAAATTATCTGAAGTTGGGTTCCAGCACATATCCAGTCTGAAAATCTCTACTTAGTAACAAAGATACAAAGATACAAAGTGAGTGCCAATTTCCAGACAATACTGTTTCTCCCATAAAAAACGGGCTAAGATATGTGAAAGACAGAAAACTTGGAACAAACACACCTGCATAGCCAGGTTATACTGAAAAAGCAACCAAACTGCAATTGTATTCAAAAATTCTTTACCCTTCCCTTGTCCTCCTACCTTGTATTTTCACTTCATCTAGCTAGATTATTCAAATCAACAAACATTAGCTAAAGCTAAGGTCACAGCCAACATCATTCTTCTCTTAACTTCTTGGTTGACTGTGGACAATTTCTCAAATGTCTCCTTTCCCAGATGTCTGTCTCTCCTGATTCCCTCCTTACTTTGCCAATGATTTATCTCTATAATCTTCTCAACCTGATCTTGTAGCAAATGCGTTAATAAATACTGATTGTCCCATGGCTCCTTCCTTCGTCCTCATTCTGTTTTTCCCTGTTTTCTTCTAGGTAACAGCTTATTTAAAAGTAAATAATCAATTGTGGAAGTAAAGGTCACAGTTCCTTTGAGGCACAATAGAATGTGCCTACATATCCACAGACACCTATCTGAGGGGCTGGTGAAAGCTAGGTGTAATTGGGTATTTGCGTGTCTACACTCAAAGAATCCCCTCTGGCTCTGCTGTCCCTCAACCTTTTCATCCCTCTCATGGCTTCAACTACCAACCCTTCACTGATCTTCAAAATCGTTTTCCTCCTTATCTCCAGTTTCATATTCCTAAGTTCTGACTGAACTACTTGATTATTCCCTCATCTCCTAAATCAAATTCAGCTCATGACTTTCCCCTCAACTTCCTTCCTGTATCTTATTTCCCAATGAACATTATCATTTTCCATCACCTGTCCAAATCCCTATCACCATCATCATCATCACCCCCTTCACCTTACTCCTCTTCTACCAAAATCAAATTACATATCAAACCTTATCCATTATGATGGACACACTCACATACACCCCACCTTTATCTATCCTGTCATTTTTATCCCCATAGCTTTAATTCAGGTTTTCATCTTCTCTTGCCTAGATTTTATTAGCCAAGTCAGCCTCTCCCTGAATCAATGTATTCTCTACAATACGCACACAGATAATTGCTCAAAATATTTTCACTTCATCCTCCAAAATATACTAAAAATATTAAAAAATTTTAATACTTTAGGAACAAAGGTTATTCTATTCTTGATCTCATCTCAACTGTATCTAACATTGCTCTCCTCCATCCTACACTTCGTGCTAGCTATGGGCACAATTCAAAATAACTTTCTGTTCACTGTTCAATTTACAATTCTACCAGACTATATGCTCCCTAAGGGAGACTCCATAATAAAAATTTCTATTGACTGTATCTCTTCAACAGCCCTGCAACATGTCTGCTCTACCCTGTCCCCACTGTCACTGAATTAGTTCAGAACCTTCAGGACTTCAACCTGGACTGAGGTAATAAGCACTCTCTGCTTTGGTTCTAACTCCTAGACAACACTGAAAAGCACACGCAACATTAATAAAAGTGCAAATGTGCTTGGGATCTTTCATTGACTTTCCTAATTCTTCTGAATTGAATCTCAGGTCCTTAATGAGCAAGGCCCAGATGATGTGATTCTTTCCTAATCATCCTGACACTCATCTATTCACACTCTTCCACTTGCAATCTCAACTCTGTGCCAGTGACAATTAAATAATGAGCTGGCCTCCTACACAAACAAGTATCTGCAAATGCTTGGCTCTCTGCCTCAGAAACCTTCCCAACTTTACTTGGTTAACTAATTTTCTATGGTCATTTCAATTTGGGACCATGCTACTATAGTAACCTTCATATACTTTCAACACACTGTAGAATTTACCACAGCATTTAAAGTTTGTCTCCCCTTGGAGGTGCAAATGTTCTGTGTGTTTTTTAAGCTGCTTTCCAACTCCTCAGGACAAGAGCTGATACACTTAAACATTTTTTAAATTTTATCGATTTAAAGCTCTTAAGCTTATTAAAAAGTTATTAGTATCTCTATCAATTCCTACTCTTCTCTGTTGCAAAATGTTTCTTGATCAAAATTTAATGATATTACACTCCTTAGCAAGAGCATTCCAAGTTTATTCACTCGTTCAGTAATCTGCTCAACACATATGGACTACGTGTTGGGAACTGCTATTAGCTGGAGAACCAAGATGAAGAATACAAAAGGCCTTGTTTCAGTGGTGCAGAAAACAACATGTTGAAAATCAGTTTCCATCCCATGTGACAGAGGAGCATGATGGCGTAGCAACACCTCCATCTGCAAGATGCACAGAACACTAGTGTCTCTGGGATGAAATGCAACTGAAAAGGAAGTAGCAATTTAAGCAACAGAAGCAAGTTTAATCAAGCCACTGTGCATAGAACTGGGGTTGATAAAAATTTTCCATTGATGGTTAATTCAATTCACAGTGCTTTATGAAGAGAAGGTGTGCTAGGAGACAAGCCACAGAGTCCCTTAGTGCCACTGTGTAAAGTTTACAGCAACCCTGCAGCCTCAATGTCTGTGTCGCAAATGCCATAGCAACAGACACTGTGTTCAAGGGCACAATGGCCTTCCCTTCTACTGAACTTCCTATGTTTTCATATGCTGCAGTCTTTTCAACCTTGGCTGCCATGGCGCTTTATACAGAAGTTTCCTGATTCTTCGTTCCATTCCACTACTTGGACAGGGTGTTATAACATCAACTCTTGGCAACAGCATATTTTCCTTACAATCAGGTTTTCCTCTTTATTTGATATGCAACATTTGTTTCCTCTTTTATGTCTTCTAAATAACTGCTTTTTGTGCTTTTGTCTACTGATTGTACAACTAGCAATAATACTCCAGAAGCAAAACATCATTAGTTAACTGACTTCAGGATGAATAAAAACATCAGGGTCACTACTCACGCTACGTCATAGATAATAACCTGATGTTGACAGATTTCAGAATGTTTAAACAAGACTTTATTAAGAAAAAAGAATTTGTTTAGATACTTGCTACATTGTTAACTTAGGGATATAAACTGACCTATACAGAGAGTTGGGCAATATCAGACTTTAAATTTTATTCACTTACAAATATGGTGAAAATACTAAGTCCTTCTGATACACTTTCTGAAAGTAATTTTACGTATACACTGATCATTATAGAAAACTTTAACTGTGTTGTTATTGCAAAAGAAATGATCATATGATAGAAAATCTGAAAATGGAAACCGAATAATTTTTTTCCTGAAAATTTACATTAAAGTGAACATCTGTAATAAAGCTTTCAAGATACAAAATTATTTCTACATTAAATAAAACATCCATTAATTACTGGCTAGGTTAAAACTAGGAGTTCCCTACCCTCATCTTTTTGGGGAAAAAAATAGGAGAAATACTAGAAATTTGTAGGAAAAGCGGTGTTAGGAAAAGGATGCATAAAACATATCCCTATTTAAACTACTAAAATGATGTAAATAGCAAACAAGAAAAAGGGAAGTACTTATGTTTTGTTTTTACCTTAATAATGTATTTATTTATGTGAAGTATAACCATATAATGTGTGAACCTATAAAACCTATTTCTCTAATCTTAGCAGCAATTCCCTCAATTTTCAAGCAATTCTTGGAAAAAAATTGAATTGGTATAATACCTTAATGAGAGATGTTCAGCATCTCATTTTACATCATCTAATCTGAACATAGAAAATTACAAATGTAATTAAACTTCAGCCTCATTTGGATAAGAGTCAACCGTAGTGGTTTACACAAGAATACAAACTTATCCACTCACCTGTACATTGTCATAGAAGAGAACATCAGGCACTTTCATTTTCTCACGGGCATTATAGATGGGCGCACTAACAGCGCCAATTCTCAGAGAGTCAGATAGCACTTCACCTAAACATTTCATGCAGGACAGAGAATTATTTATAGCAGCGTCTTCAGAAAAGCTAAGTCAACCCAACTAAGGCTACAATACAGCCTCTGAAATACTTATGAGCTCTTCAGGGACTGACTTTAATGTAATAACCAAAGAAATAAGCTTGAAAGTGGTAATAAAACACTATGGCTCTAAATACAGCTCAGAATATAAGAGAGATTTTATCTACATCTACATATCCATTGGTATCTATTGATATTGATAGAGACATAGTTACATAACAAATGCATAGATAAACCTGAAAGTTTAAAAAAAAAAAAAAGAAAGAAAAAGGGAAAGAAAAGAAAAGAAAAAAGAACAACCCAGAATATAGTTAAGTCACCTACATGGGGTAATTAAGTCAGAGACTGTAACACACACATAAGCCAAATTCTCTCATTCTAAAGTCCATAAGTACCCTGGATATAATATTTTAGGTCCAATTCAGTTACGCAGTAGGACCATCTAGAGCTCTGGTTAAAAAAAGAAGAAGAAAAGAAAAATACAAAACAGAATCTGGTGTTGTGGGGCAGCAAGTTAACTTGCCACTTGGAAAGCTGGCATTGTATATAGGAAGACTAGTTTGAATTTCAACCATTCCCCTTTTGATCTAGCTCCCTGCTAATACACTTGGGAATAATCCAACTGCTTGTAGACCTGCCAAAAGGTGGAGGACCAGGATAGAATTCCTGGCTCTTGGTTTTGGTTTGGCTCAGCTCTGGCTTTGCAGGCAGTTGGGCAGTGAATCATCAGACTGAATCTGTCTCTCTTTGTCTCTCCCTCTCTCTTACTCTTGCATTTCAAACAAAATAAAACAATTTTAAAACTGCAAGTGAATGAAACCACCCCAGCTCTCTAAAATCTCATCTTCAGGATTGGCCCAAGTGGTTTCAAAGAATAATAAAAGCCATCACTTACCAAGGACCTTTTATGTGCCAGATCCCTAACTAAGCAGTGAATCTAAATTTTTTCTTATGTAATTTACCGTCACTCTTAACAATAACACAAAAATTATAAGGAAACTCAAAAGAACACAAATTAAGTAATTCTCTTAAAATTACCAAGCTAGTGTGGATAGAGCTTAAAATAGAACTTAGTCCAGTCTGGCATTCTTTCTACCATGTGTACCATGTTCATTCCATCCTGTGGAAATACCCCAGGCAAGCAGTTATGCAATGACAAAGCTTTAAACATTTCACTTATCTCCACACTCCCACATCCCCAGTCCTTCAAATAAGAATACTGTAGCTTGCTTCTCCTCCAGAATGCTAATTTTATGCTAAATGATTTTGAAAGTCAAGGGGAAAGCAATGTTTGCTTCCATGAAGTACCAGGGAAAACATGAGTTAAAAATCACTGCACTGACCCCCTTACACAGTCTTGCTGAGTGCAGCTGCACATCTGCCAAAGCACACGTCTTACTGGGAGTCTCCACTTCACAGACTCTTGGCAATTCACTTTTATTCACAAGTTCTGAAGTGAAGGAAAACCATGAGCTCTCACACTGAGAGTTCAGTATTTATAAAACATCTCTGATACAGATCCAATGCAAACTAATTAAGGGGAAGAGTAAGAATGTGGCAGTGATCCCATTGTAGACATCTATGCTGAGATAACAAAGACAATTTTAGATTCAAACAACATTGATAGCATCAATGGTTTAGTTTATGAAACATATTCTTTCAGTAGTTTTAGGACTTTGGGACAATTTAAATCACTCAACCAATGTTTACTTTCAAAATTTTAAGCTCAAAAAGGAAAATAGACTGACAGGGTGATGTTGGCACTTCCCTGGGGAGAAGGCTGGCTCTCTTCCAAAAAATCGCAGCACTATTTGAGCACATTTGTCAAGGTTTCATTCTAGTAGGCTCAAAATCTGAGTTTGTCATCACAATCGAGAGCCAAGTCTAACTTCCAGAAAAATATAAAGACATATTTTCTACATGTATATGTTATGCTACAAAGTCAGAATTGCAGAATACTACATCACAATGAAAGCTGTAACCCTCCTTTGAGAAGCAATGTTCGCCATAATTAGCACTTTGTAGAGACCTGCATAGTAAGGGAAAGACCCAGCTCACAGTTATCTGATGAGCACAGACTCTGAACCATAAGAGTGAAGTAAAATGAATTCTCTGTAGAAGAGCTGGACTTGAAGATAAATGGAGCCAGATGAGTGAAAAGCTCTTTACTTGGGTTCCTCATACCCTACATGAGGCACTGCTTATACTAATCTTTTAATAAAGAGAAGCAATGCACAGTCTACATGAGATGATCTTTTTTTCTACATGTTAGTAGATTCAACTACTTTTAATCATTGTGAGTTTATTAGTATCAGTGTTACTCACTGCTGGAGTTGGCTCAGCTCAAATCTACTTAGATCTATTAATATGTTCAGTTTATAATTTTACTCAAGAATGCCATCAAATATTTCCTTACTGCCAAATTTTGTCTCAGTGTAACCACAGCCATTAAAAACACCGATTACAAAGATAGCCATAATAAGACTGGTTACACACTGGATTTTTAATAATATGAATAATAAACATTAAAATTTGGGCCCAGTGCAATGGCTAAATTGGCTCTTCCTCCCCATCAATTGTCAGTATCCCATATGGGTGCTAGTTCATGTCCCAGCTTCTCCATTTCCCATCCAGCTCCCTGCTTGTGGACAGGGAAAGCAGTAGAGAATGGCCCAAAGTCTTGGGACCCTGCACCCATGTGGGGCACCCCGAGCAGCCTCGAGGCTCCTGGCTCCTGGCTTCAGATCACCTCAGCTCCTGCCAATGGTGGCAATTTGGGGAGTGGTCCAGAGAATGGAGGATCTTTCTTTCTCTCTATAAAGCTGCCTTTCCAATGACAATAAATACATATTTAAAATAAAATAAATTATAAAATTATAAAATTTCCACTATAAAGTAATTAATTGAATGAAAGGGAAATTTTATAATGAGAACCAAATCTCCATCAATCCAAAACTATACTTCTAGATCCCTGAAAGAAAATGACCATAAAAGAGAACACAGGTGGAAACAGAAGGTAGAAGGAGGTATGGAATGGTTTTCAAAGTATTAATACTTTAGTCTGTCATCAATCTAGAAAAGTTGTTCAAAGATATCCCATTGTACCCTGGTAGTTCTTGAAATGTAAATGTTTGCCAAAAAAACCAGAATTCTGTAGTCTATGAAGAAATAAATTTGGAAGATATATACTTGTCAAAATTAGCTGATTTACGGCAGGAATTTTCAGAGCCTTTACTATGTCAGTGTCAACTGTGACTCTAGCTAGGTGGAACTGTTTCTAATATGTACTAAAAAAAGTAACTATGCTAGGATTCAAGTTCTAAACTGTTCTCAAACTTTTAAAAAAGTTAAATTCATTTCTTCAATCCATTCCAGAAAACAAAATGGACAGAAAACATTTTTTGTTGAAATTAAGATAAGTAGTAGTATAATATGTTTGAAAAGTACTGTTTAACTTTACAAAGAACCAAATCAAATACTTACATTTGTAGTTCTCTAGTTCTGGTTCCAGATTATCAACAGCATTTACTTCTATTGCAGCATCTGCCAGATTTTTTTCTAATGCTGACCTAGCCAGACTTGGTAAAAACCTAGCAGGGGGAAAAGACAGGAAAAATCAGGAGAAATCAGTTAATGATTTCCATGATTCTTCAACATTATTTTGCTTCTCTCTCTAATACATGCATTTTTACTAATTAAAACCAATTACAAAGATTAATATGGATTTGTGAAATAAAATTATATATTTTAGAATAAAAACAAAGTATGTACAAATGCATGTATATGTAAGTTTAATAAATTGAGTAAAACACATCTGTAATTAGCAGTATCCACTTACAAAGAAATGTCAGTTTCCTATCCGTGTAATATTCCATCTACAAATCGAATGAGCATCTTGCCTACTGCCTCATTTGGGTCCTGACACTGAGGACTGACACAGCTCTAGGCCAGCAGCATATCAGTTCAGCATCAGCACAGATGCCTCTATTGCTCATCTCTGACTTTTCAGCAGTTTTTAGACCACTGTCTTCTTGTGCAAAATCAAGCCCTGCTGGAGGCCAGCTCCAGCCAAGTTCACAGCTCTAGAAGGGTGTGAGGAGGCAGCAAGAAGAAGACACTAACACTGGCATGGTGCCCTCAATTAACAGGTCAACGAGCTGTCTTTTTTGATTTACCCAGCCACATCACATGCTTCTGCACAAACATTTAATTGTTCTATTTTTATTTCATGACTAAGGGGGCATGCACAGACATTTGGTCATTCTGTCTGTACCTCATGGTTAAGCAGGTGCCCCTAAAGATAATTCTGCAATATAATCATATTCTTCAAAGCAAACCATTGTTCATTCTTCAGTAGTAGCCATGGAACGACAGCCAGGACTCCAATTGGGGCCAAGACACATGAGATTACCTGCTAATCAGTAATACATTCCTACTACATTTCTACTTCTACAATTTACCCAATACTTAATGGGAAAAATATGTCACAAGGGAAAAAACATAAAAATTCAAGACATATGTTTCAAATATTAAATCCCCCTACAACTACAAGCTCTACAATGCCATAAACAATCAAACAACAATCAAAAGCATATCCTTATTAATAAAAGTATCCTTAAATTCCTCTAGCCAAAAATCATAAGAAATGGCTGAAACAGATACATTTTCTATGCTTCAAAGAAATGCAAGGACAGGCTAGCCTTTAAGATCACAGTAACTGGGGCCCGGCGCAGTGGCGCAGTGGTTAAGGTCCTCGCCTTGCACCCCCGGGATCCCATATGGGCACCGGTTCTAATCCCGGCAGCCCTGCTTCCCATCCAGCTCCCTGCCTGTGACCCGGGAAAGCAGTCGAGGACGGCCCAAAGCTTTGGGACCCGGCACCCACGTGGGAGACCCACAAGAGGCTCCTGGCTTCGGATTGGCATAGCATCGACCATTGTGCTCACTTGGGGAGTGAATCATCGGACAGAAGATCTTCCTCTCTGTCTCTCCTCTCTGTATATCCGCCTTTCCAATAAAAATAAAAAATAAATAAATCTTTAAAATAATTAAAAAAAGATCACAGTAACTGTGTTTATCACCATAGCAGTTTCATCTCATACTCCCATCACTTGCACTAATATTTAGGATACATATCAAGCCCTGTCCCAGAAGGTGTGCTACATGTCTGGGCCAGATTATGAGGCAATGGTTAGGCATACAATAAGGTGTCCAGAAATGGCACGGGCTTAATTGTGCTCCTGTGTATGTAAACTGTTAAAGACTCGCTCACCAAGACATTATCAGCAACATTAACTCCCAAGCTCACATTGGTTGCAAAATCCATCTCAAAAGGGCAAACAATGCCCCAATGGATTACAAAATTATTAGTGGGACAGTTGAATGTTCATGCAAAGAGGGTGAAACTGCACTGAGGTAGTTGGAGAGACATCTGCCAGGCCCTGCCTCACAGCTGGAAGCTTCTTGCAGTCTTACCAACAGGGCAGCTGTTCTGTTAATACCTTTGTGTCATCCCATCCACTGCACGGGCCCCAGCAAAGCCCTCATCGTATCTCCTAGCTTCAGTAAGTGGACATATGTCTGCTTCTTTAGCTCTTGTCTTGTACCTTGCCCAGACGTCCTGTCTCAACTCTCCCATAAACTGCACTTCAGCTTGGGAACATCAGGCCCTGCCACTACATCTGTGCTTCTTCCAAAGGTACCACCTGACTGACAATGGCCACCTTTAAGCTTACACTCATTTTCTATTTCCAGACATCCCTGACATCAATATAATCTGTCAGCACATCTTCTCACTAGCTCTGTATTGGAATATTTTATTTTCCAGAGCTTCTAATGCAAGGCCACACATACACCTTCCTTTCAATGGCAGTGAAGGTACTATTTGTAAAAATGCAGTTTTCTGTTGAAGCTGAATATAGGTATTCTCAAAATGCTACGCAGTCAGCACTACTGAATCATCATCATCTAAAATATATTTAGATCTAGAACTGTGATTTTAAAAAGTACTTGTTAGGGGCTGGTAACATGGATCAATAGGCTAATCCTCCACCTCCAAGTGCCTGTATCCCATGCCCAGCTATTCTACTTGCAATCCAGTATCCTGCTTATGACCTGGGAAAACAGCTGAGCACCCACATGAGAGACTTGAAAGAAGTTTCCAATTCCTGGTTTCAATCTGTTTTGCTCTGGCCACCATGCCATTTGGTGAGTGAACCAGTGGATGAAAGATCATTCTCTTTGTGTCTCTCCTTCTTTCTGTAAATATGCCATTTAAATAAAAATAAATAAATCCTTTAAAAAAGTGGTACTGGATGAACCAGCAAATGAGGAAGACTGGCAGGTCCTGGGTGATGCAAGGCTAGATTTTCAAGGATTCCCAAACAGGGTCCTTTTCTAGTGCTCATGGATATAATTTTGTTTCCCTCATTGGAAAGGCAAATTTGCAGAGAGAGACAGAGAGAAAGATCTTTCATCTGCTAGTTCATCCCCTAAGTAGTTGCAAAGGTTGTAGCTGAGCTGATCCAAGGCCAGCAGCCAGGAGTTATTTTCCAGGTCTCCTACATGAGTGCAGGATCCCAAATCTTTGGGCCATCTTACACTGCCTTCTAATGCCATAACCAGGAGCCAGATGGGAGGTGGAGCAGCTGGAACACAAACTGATACTCATATGGGCTCCCGGTGCATGCAAGATAAAGATTTAGCCACTAAGTGATCATGCCAGGCCCTCATGGATATCTTCTACTTTTTTTTTTTTCTCCCCAGTCTCTGAATTTTGGGGGGAAAAATTAAGAAACAAAAGTGAAATAGTAATCTTTGTAACAAATTCCAGCACATGCTGCTTCAATTTCTTCAAACATATTTATCACTATTCTTTTAAAAAATCATTGCTATAATCATTTGTAGTTCACCAATACACACCCATAAACAAAGAGCTGGAAAGCTTCTAGTCTTATCATGTCTTGGTTACAAGAAAAGCAAACAAAAAAAGGATTCAACATAATTTATATTGGTGATTGTAATTCTTAAATTTTCTTTTTTTTTTTTTTTGACTTTTTTTAAATTTATTTTTTTTGACAATCTTGACATAATTAGGGTAAAAAGGTTCAGTGCTACAGGAAGATGGGCAAGACAATTAGTTTTGTTTCCTTACTATATCTGATGTAAAAGGGATTTTAAGAAAGAAGCCCCACCCATTCTCCCACCCACCCCAGGTCCTGGATGTGGGGCCATGCTCCGAGTGGTTTTGGTAGTTCAATAGTTATGAATTGCTGCCACTCTCGCCACTCCAAGCACGATGAGGTCGTTGAAGAGGTGGTTGATTGACTTGTTCTGTCCTCTGTCTTTTCATGGTTAGGGTTCTGAGTCCAGAAGCTCGATTGGGGAGATCCCCAAAGAAACTTTGTCTGAGGTGTTCCCAGACCAGATTCTTGTATATACTAGCAAGAACAGGACCCAGCACAGTCCATTGCCCCAAATCAGCTGGTGGTTGCAATTGCTGGGTTGGTTCTTTTTCCATCCCTGTCTTCCAATGGAACCAATGGATGCCACAGTCCAGCCTGGTTCTGCCCAGCACATACTCGGCCCTCACACAAACCAATGTGGGCTGCAGACTAGTCGGAGCAACCCACAATAACCCCCACCAGGACAACCCCCTGCCCTGGTTTGCCAGTATGTGTGGCAGACTAGTCCAGTCTGTCCCACATCCCCTTTTGCTTCAAACATGTCAATGGGTATTAAAACCTTGTTCCATCTAACCAGCTCAACTATCCAGCTCTCATGGATGTTGTTGGGTGCTTTTCTGTCTAGCCACCCCAGCCCCTGTTCTAGTTTTCCTGCCCTTCTGTGGGGAGTGGTAACCCAAGAGGGAGGAGCCCACTATTTCCTTCCCAGGCCTCTCCCACTCCCAGATTATGCACTCTCCAGGTGGTTCTGTGGTTTAACTGTACTGGCGCATTTAGGACAACATCACTCATCCCATTTATGAATTCATCCTTATTTGTACATTAATTTCTCAAAATGATTTTGTTAATTCAGACATTTGAAGTACTTGCGAAGCAGAATAATATGTAGAGTATACAAGCACAATTTCAAATGCTCAGAGATACTTAATTTAGCCAAGTATTATAAATACAGAGAGAAGCAAACTTTTTTTCAGAGGCCATTAAAAGTGATTCTCAGGGGGCAGCCTTTTGGCCTGCACTTAATGCTACTTGGGATGCCTGAATTCCATGCTGGAGAGCTTGGTTCGTGTCCAAATTCCAGCACCACTCCAAATTCCAGCTTCCTGCTCATGTGCACCCTGGGAGGCAACAGGTAATGGTTTAAATAGCTGAGTCCCAGTCACCCACATAGGACAAGCAGATTGAATTCTTGGCTGGTGATTTTGACCTGGCCTTGACAGGGCCAAACACTGTAGGTATTTAGGGAATAAATTAGCAAATAGGGAGAAGAAGAGTTATGTCTCTCTAAAATAAATGTAATAAAATTTTTAAATGATTTTTAAGCTCTGTCTACTATAAAATGAGCTGAATAAACAGCAATTATAAATATACCTTACATTGATTTTTTCAAAAATATTTGAAAGGCT